TCAAACTGTGAGCAGGATTTAATGGGAGAGAGTCTCTATTGAAAACTTTGATGCCATAACAGGTTCCATGGTAAAGAATGCACTTGGCCCTGGATGGTGAGCGTGCTGATATCTCTCCCCCACAAGAACCCCGCAGCTGCTCTTGGGAGCAAATTCTGATTAGCACAGCTCTAAGGGCGCCACTTCCCTGCTCTTCCTTCTACCTTGCGAGGATCCCGTTAGCTTGGCATTCAAAGCTCCCCGGGGTTTAACGCAAACCCGCCTTTCCCATAGTCTCCATCCTTCTTAAACGCGTATCTTGTCTGTGCCAACTAAGTGATTTTTTTTTTTTTTTGGATTGATCTTTTAAACTGCTTCTTTCAAACTGTGATTGCTTTCGCAGGTCCTTAACCTACCCGTGAATCCTCCCCGCAACTCGCAGCTTTTCCACGCGCGCCCTACCGTTCCTTTCCTTGTGATCCTCTGTCCTTCCAAGGCCCTGCAGCTGGACAATCTCATCCCCGGGACTCCTCTAAACTAGTTGCTGGGCTTGTTGAACTGTCAAGGGGAAATGTGGTTCCAGAGACAAATTGTGAGTGCCTGGAGCGATTGTAAACCGTCTGTTCTATCTGCCTGAAGCTGTCATTTTCAACCACCACCCCAATACCATTTTATTTAGGCCCAGGTTTAAAGGTTGGGATTGAATTGTGCACCCTCATCCCAAAGAAGAGGGACCCAGAGCCCATTTTCATAGTCAAGACCCACTTCTTTCTTTCTTTCTACTTTGCCCACTAGTTTAACCACTGCACCACCAGTCTCTTGGGGCTGTGGGAATGTGATCCGAACCTTTGTGCTTTTGAGAATGGGTTTCCCTCTGCCAGCTCGTCCCTCTGCTCTTCTCTTTCAACTTCTCCTCTCTGCTTTCCTCCACCCTATAATAAATTATTCCTTGTCCAAACAAAAGAAGCCAGGGGTGAAGGCATATTTCTGTCATCACAGACCTTGGCAGTCTGAGGTGACTGCAAGGGCCAGCCTCTGGGGTTCATGGGGAGGCTGGATTAGTCAGTGTTACATTGGATGGTATTGTAAGAAAAAAGAGGAGGAAGAGGAAGAGGAGGAGGAGGAGGAGGAGGAGGAGGAGGAGGAGGAGGAGGAGGAGGAGGAGGAGGAATCAGGGGAAGCCAGCAACAAAATAAGAAATAATTAAAGACTGGCATGGTGGTGCAGGTGCACTCTTGTAATCCCAACTTTTGGGAGGTGAAAGCAGAAGGGTCAGGAGTTCAAGGTCATCCTCAACTTCTCCGTGAGTTCGAGGTCAGCCTGGCCTACTGGTGGCCGTACCTCAAAAGAGAAAAAGAAAAAAACAAAGATTAAAAAAAAGTAAGTAAAGATAAAAAGAAAACTTCACAGGGTTCGTCTTCAAATCAGCAAGTGGAACCAGAGCGTTCCCCCGTTAAATCCCCGCGAGTTGAAGACTTCCATTTGCTCCCCAGGGTAGCCTTTCCCAGCGAACTGGGGGCGGGGGGGGGGCTCTCAGGCCGGATTTGAGTGACATAACAACTTTCGCCCCCCCGTCCCGCGTCTTGGTACGGCCCGTCCGGCGGAAGGTGTTCCACCCCCCCTCGCTTTCTCCTCAGGTTGGTTCAGCCCCCGTCTACTCAGGGGTGGTGCTTAGCCGGCGCCAGACCGACCCTCGGCTTCGGAGAGGCAGCGCTGTCCCTCTCGGCGCTCACCCGGCGGCTTCGGCTCCCACAGCTTCCTCAGGGAGCGCAGACCCTGGTTTATGCCCCAGCTCTGACCCCGCTAGAGACATGTCGACCCCGGCCCGGCGGCGCCTCATGAGGGACTTCAAGAGGTAACCCCCCAACCCCCGGCCGTCATGGAGAAGGCGGCTCGGGGGCTGCCGGCCGGGACACAGGGCGGATCCCGGAGCCGAGCGGCTCGGGGTGTGGTGATGGGGGGCCGGCGGCGAGTGGCGGCACTGAGGGGAGCCGCTGTGTGTTTCTGAAGGTTACAAGAGGACCCTCCGGCCGGAGTGAGCGGGGCTCCATCAGAGAACAACATAATGGTTTGGAACGCGGTCATTTTTGGGTGAGTCTGCGTCCCGGCCGCTGCTGAGGGCTGAGGGACCAGCGTCGGCCCCCTCGAAGAGCGGCGGAGGGGGGATGGGGGGGACAGGGGAAGGGAGTCGGGGTTGTTGGGGCCTAGGCGCCTCCCCGGAGCCTCTGCCTCGATTAGCTCCCTTCCCCGCCGCCGCCGGGGGGGGGGGGGGGGGGCGGATCTCTGTGAGTTCGAGGCCAGCCTGGTCAACAGAGGGAGCATTTGGGGTTCTAGGGGGGCGGGGTGGGGAGTGGTGGCGGCCGAGGCGGCGGCGGCCTGCGTTGCCTCCCGAACCCCGAGCGGCGCGCGAGGTGGCTTTTCGGGGTGCAGCCGGGAGGCAGGGACGCGAGCCCTTGACAGAGCCGCCGCCGCCTCCGCCGCCCCCGCAGCCCCGGGAGGAAGGGGAGCCTCTTGGCGGCCGCTGACTGGCGCTTGTTTGTTTTTCTTTCTCTGTGTTGCAGGCCCGAAGGGACCCCATTTGAGGATGGTAAGAGAGTTTCTCGCCCCACCTTTTAGGAGCCTACCCCGCCGGAGGGGGGAGGGGGGTCCCCTGTCATCAGCAACCGCTCCCCTCACCTCCCCCCCCTGCTTAACGACCCAGTCCTGCTCTGCTCTGCCTCGCCCCCTCTGCCTGCTAAAAAGGTCTGAGTGGAATCCAGTGTGTGGCGGCTCCAGGCGAGGCTTGTGCTTCCCCGGAACCGCACCGCAACCGTCGGGCCGGTTGAGACCTTCCAACTGGGTAAAAGTCGCTCCGTGAGAGCTGTGCCCCAGCGCGGGGGGTTGGAGCGGCGAGCCTGCCTGCTGAACCCCCACCCAGGTCAGGGAGCAGGAAGCCCGTCCACCAGAGACCATCTGCTCCCGTGTCCGCTCCCTGTCTGCTCCCTCGCAAGGGCAAGGATGGTGCTCAGCCGCGCTTAGTGTGCGCTTTCCGCTTAGTGTGCGCTTTCCGGGGGGCTGAATGGGTGCGGGGTCCTCTGAGGCGCAATTGCCTGCCTTTTCCACTCTGACATGGGAGGCTCACGGGCCCCGCTCCCTTACAGGTGCTCAGAAACGCCTCCTTTCAGTGTAAGATTGTTCCTTGGTTTTAAATTCATTTACAGGCGGGGTTTTCCTTAGGGTCCTCTGGTCAGGAATCTGACAGCAGCTTCAGAAGTGAGGTTTGCCTTACGTCCAGCCTACCTGAATACTGAGTTTGTAGCAAGAGGTGTATAACTTAAGCAATTTAGGTCTGACTTTTAAGCACACATACTAACTGCCCTTCAACACCTTTGTTTTTGAATGTTGCCGTGGTGCCCTATGCCTTTAATTCCTGCATCTGGAAGGCAGAGGAGGTAGAGGCAGGTAGATCTCTGTCAACCCGAGACTAGTCTAGCTTACATAGACTCAGGCCAGCCAGGGGTACATAATGAAACCTTGTCTCAAAAAAGAAAGCAATAAAGAAAATAAGCCTTTCTGTTTGGCATAGTTAGATTGCTGTGCAGTTGAAATACTATAACAAGTTCTTGAAAACGCTTCACTTACTCCACTCCCATTGGTCATCTCTTGAATGTCTGCCTATACCACAATATCTCAATCATAATTGACAGTGATAGAGTTTTATAGGCAGACGTGTGTGTGTGTGTGTGTGTGTGTGTGTGTGTGTGTGTGGTGTTTTGGGTCTTTTAAGGTTTAAGTCATTTAAAGAATGATTAAAACTATTAGAATTCACGAAATTCTTTAGTGTTTGGGGTGCTTAATCTTTCTGTAATTTTTTTCCTCAATGACTTATCTTTCTTTAGTTTAAAGTTTAAAGGTGACAACAAAAACATTCATTTTTTTTCCAAGACTGAGTTTCTCTACATAGTCCTGGCTGTCCTGGAACTCTCTGTAGACCAGGCTGGCCTCGAACTCAGAGATCCACCTGCCTCTTCCTCCCGAGTGCTGGGGCAAAAGGTGTGTACTACCATTGCCTGGCCCAATCCATTTCTAAAACTACTTCATATATACGTTGCTGAGTCAGAAAACTTACTGTGAAGTAAGTTAAGATCAGCCATTCTCTAATTTGTCTCAAATACTCAGATACCCTTCAAAAACTGTGGCTAGTCAACCAGAATACTTTAGCTTTCTCTCTACCTCACTGACGAGATAACTGCTGTTGCTGTTCCATGCTGCACTAAAAAGAAAGAAATGATGCAGGAGAGAGTGATTCTAGGGCACACTACTTTGGTGAATTTAATATAAGGGCTAGCCAGGCTTCTCTACTAGACTGGTATTATTTTGTTTGTTTGCTTGTTGTTTTGAGAAAAGGTTTCTCTGTGTAACTCTGGCATCTTGGAACTGTAGACCAGGCTGGCCTCGAACTCACAGAATGCTGGGATCAAATGCTGTGCCACCACCACCTGACTGGTGCTACTTCTTTATATGTAAGCTTTATGTGTAGACCAGTGGTTCTCAACCTTCCTAATGCTTCGAGCCTTTAATACAGTTAGTTCCTCATGTAGTAGTGACCCCAACCATAAAATTATTTTTATTGCTACTTTGTAACTTTTTGCTGTTATGAATTATAATGTAAATATCTGTATTTTCTGATGCTCTTAGGTGACCCCTGTGAAAGGGTCATTTGATTCCCTCCAAAATGGGCCATGACCCACAGGTTGAGAACCAGTGGTGTAGTGGGATTTATTTTCATTGCCTCCCCTCATTTTCCTCAGACTATTTTATCCTAGGCACAGCTTATTAATAGCACATCATTTTGCTAGAGGCAGGCTACTTCAAATTTAAAGGGTGCTCCTGATGTTTAAAGTAGTGTAAATTGAAAAGATACTGTGGAATCCATTATCTACCTTGACTGCTGCCTTTGACATTACTGCCTTTGTTTTTGATGGTGTACAACTGTCTGTAACTTGGCATTGCTGAAAGGAGTTAAGCTAAAAGACAGTGCCCATCTCTGACTCTGTTGAACACTTTAGGATATATGCATGCTTCTTCTGGTGTTTAGAATTCTGACTGGCGAAAACAAATTCTGACCATTTTTTTATTACTCTTAATTACATTTGGAGACTTTATAACTAGGGAAGAGATTCAATAGAGATAAGTGACAGCTGATTTGCTGTGTCCAATGTGTTTTCAAATTAAAAGCCCTCACACAACTCTTGTTTATTCCTTGATAGAGGTTTCTGAATCAGGTCCTAGTTAAAAAGAGGAAATTCTGAGAAAAGGAATTTTTAAAGGCAGTTTTCTTTAGCTTCACATATTTAAGAAGAGATGAATATGTTCTGGAAACTTATTCTACCAGAATATTGTTAAGGAAAACTTTGTTGAAATATCTTTATATATAAGCTAAATACAAAAGTTATGGGATATATTCTTTATCAGGTCCAAAATTATTGAGATAATTGCAGTTGCTTTTTAACGTTTATGTGACCTTAAGAATTTGAGTGTGTATATCGTTTTAAAATAGGTATCTCTTTTTTTTGAGATGGGGTTTCTCTATGTAATAGCCTTAGCTATCCTGGAACTCACTTTGTAGACCAAGCTGGCCTCCAACTCACAGAGATCCACCTGCCTCTGCCTCCTGAGTGCTGAGATTAAAGGTGTGCACCACCACTGCCTGACTAAAAGGTATCTCTTAAAGTCCACTAAGAGTAATAAAGAATTTTCTTTTAGTCATCATCAAAAAGATTTTAAGTACATGTAATTTTCCTCCAGGCTCCTAAGTTAGTAGTCAAATGACAAGAAACGAGCAGAAAAGTTTTTAGACAATAGCATTTGCTTTTTTCTTTATTCCCTCCCTCCCTCTCTCCTTCTTTCCTTCCGTCTTCCCCCTCCCCCATATGTAATTTGCTTTTTGTTTTGTCTTGTTTGTTGTTTTTTGAGACAGGGTCTCAAATATATCACCTTAAATTAAATATATGATTGAGGATGACCAGAGGAACCTAAGAAGTTCCTGATTCTCTTGCCTCCCTCTCCCAGGTGCTAGGATTAGAGGTGTTTGTGCCACATAGGCCATCAGGCCTGACTCTTTGAATTTTCAAAAACATTGAATCTGTTATGTAATTCAACCATGTCAGTCTTTATTGTGAAATACTAGACATTTAACACATATATTTTTTTCTGGCCTCCATGTTTATTTGTGTTGGTACTTAAAAATGGTTTGGCCTCTTCAGAAAGATGAAAAAAATCAGAAAAATCAGTGAAGATTGTATACAGTGATGAGGTCTAATCTTTCATTATGTTGAAGGCCTAGCCTTCTGAAGGTGAGCTCTGGTGTGAAATTGTTTAATAGCCTATGATTTTTTTTCATTGCATTAAATTTGTTTACATCTCATGAATTGCAATTGAGGGTTCCACTGAAGAGGCTCTGCTTATTTAATGTAATTGAAAGGAATGTTGCCTTTTAAATGTATACATTGTATAAGATTTGGGTAAGTCAATTTATGAATCAAGTTAACATAAATAAGTTGTTTCACTTATAAAGGTATCTAAAGCTTTTACAAAGATTGGATTCACTGCCTCTTGTTCTTCTTTCAGACCACAGTTAGGCTTTCAGACCACAGTTAGGCTGAAGGCTCTAGCCAAGGAATTTGAACCGGCTGCATATATAATCAACCTATGAATATATGTGTTTGCTCTGTGACAGGAAATTAGTGCTACTTAATAATTGAATTTACTTATGTGTTTCTGACTGGTAGTAAAGTTCAGAGTTTGGATTTTTCTCTCATTCAGCCAGGTCTAGATATGTGAGGCAGAATTACAGGTAAAGTAATTGTTATACACATTTGCTACATTTAAGCCTCACAACAGTGTTGCAGTAGATACTATTAGCCTTCTTTTGCACATGAAAAACTTGGTTTAGTCAAATACAGCACCAACAATATATGTATGTGTTTTATCATATGTCTGTGTAGCATGTGTGTGCCTATTGCCCTTAAAGGCTAGAAAATGACATGGGATCTCCTGAGCTTTCATGTGTGTGTTGGGAACCTAGCCCTGAGCTTGTTCTCTTAAACCCATTGTGCTGTTTCTTTCCTGCCTTTGGGTATCACACTTAATGATGGTTTAGTTTAGTTCAGGGTAGCTGGGGTCTCTGTGTGCTATTTAGCCAGTCCAGTTTTGCCTGGTGGTGGTGGCGCATACCTTTAATCCCAGCAATCCAGGCAGAGGCAGATGAGTCTATGAGTTCAAGGCCAGCCTGGTCTGTTTAGGGAGTTCAGGGCAGCCAGGACTACACAGAGAGACCCTTTCTCAAACAATAAGAACCTAAAGGAAATTTATAAGCATGAAGTATGCCTATTCCTTACTGTTTTGTTCCCCCTTAAGCTTCTTTATATAGTATCTACATATGGCCTTCAAAAAGAAAACAGTTTCCAGAGTGACAGTAGTTTGGGGAATGTACTTTTTTAGGGGTTTTTGAGACAGGGTTTCTCTGTAGCTTTAGAGCCTGTGCTGGAACTCACTCTGTAGACCAGGCTGGCCTCGAACTCACAGATCCACCTGTCTCTGCCTCTAGAGCCCTGAGATTAAAGGCATGCACTACCACCGCCCAGCTGGGGAATGTACTTTTGCAATTACATTTTATTTACTTCTATTTTTATGGTGCTGTGGATGTAACCAAGGGCCTGGACTGAGCTAAACAAAATGCTCTTATTGAGCTACACGCTCAGTGTCATATTTCCACTTAAAAAAGCAATTCCTTCCTTCCTTCCTTCCTTCCTTCCTTCCTTCCTTCCTTCCTTCCTTCCTTCCTTCCTTGCCCCTCTCCCTCCCTCCCTCCCTCCCTCCCTCCCTCCCTCCCTCCCTCCCTCCCTCCCTCCCTCCCTCCCTCCCTCCCTCCCGTGTATGAGGACTTTGTAGCATTTTTCTTTTTAAATTTAGTTTTTGTATGGTTGTGGGTACACATGTGGAAATCACAGGACAACTTGGTAGAAGTCACTTCTCTCACCTCATGCATTCTGGTAATCAAACACAAGTTGTCAGGCTTAGTGGCAAATGCCATTACCTATTTAGCCATCTTGCCAAGCCCCCATATTGTATTTTAAATTATTCTAGAATTTTGTGACACATTCATAGCAAGATCAGGTTGGTAGTAGAAAATCAAATTTTTGATATTGTTATGTGTCAGATATAGCAGTAGAAAGATAGTATTCTCTTTTCTTAAGTAGGAATAAAGCTATTAATGACAGTCAACAGGAAATACATTGCTAGTTCTAAAGGAATTAATAGTTAAGTTATACTCTAAAGTGTAGGCTACTTTTGTTATTCTCTCCACTAGTGTGAATGATTGCATTGATATTTTAGTGGAGTATTTTGAGTCAAACGTGAGGGTTTTGATAGGCACTGCAAAGTTTGTTCTGGCTTAAATTCAATTAAATTTTCATTATAATCATTATTACATGAAAAGAAACCAATGAACATTTTTCTGTGTTCCATTTTATTTGTTAATTATGGATTTGCATTTCTAGCAATGCTTTTGGAACCTTTTTGTCCTAGTATACTAGGGACTACTAGAGAAATTTAAGGTAATGCCTGATTGCCATAGGCCTTTGAGGCTTTGCGGGGGTTCTGGAGGTTAAAACTAGGGCCCCCTGTATAGTAGGCAAGTGCTCTCGTACTAAACTGTATCTCTAATCCTAAGTTCTTTTTAGTCTAAAGGAGGAAGGTCAAATTTGGGGCTCAGTACCTTATCATTTGAAGGATATGTTCAAAGTGCATAGTGACTATCATACAGCAAACAGCAATTTTGTTTATGGTGACTGTCTTTTAATTTTGGAGAATAATGGGAAAATAGCTAAAACACCTTTCGGTGGTGGTTCTTAGAATAGTTCCTTGAGATGTGTTTCTTAACTAGTCTCTTCTCTATACTATATCCCTGTCCTTATGTTATTTCACTTAATGATTAAAAATATTCAAAAAGCATTAAAAACAAAGTACATGTGAAAAAAAGTGATAAATAAGATTTCCTATTCCCCCTTTTTTAACTACAGGAACATTTAAACTTACAATTGAATTTACTGAAGAATATCCGAATAAGCCACCTACTGTTAGATTTGTCTCTAAGATGTTCCATCCTAATGGCAAGTATTTTATTTTATTCTTTTTTTTTTTTTTGAGACAGGGTTTTCTCTGTGTAGCCCTGGCTGTCCTGGAACTCACTCTGTAGACCAGGCTGGCCTCAAACTCACAGAAATCCACCTGCCTCTGCTTCCTAAGTGATGGGATTAAAGATGTGCACTACCAGTGCCTGTTTTTTGTTTGTTTGTTTTGTTGTTTTGTTTTTTATGGCAGATATTTTAAACATGTTCTTGTAAGGTCCTACAATGCTTTTTACGGTGGTAATTCCAAATGCTGTTGCTTATGTGAAGTACAAGTATTTTGCTGTCTCTGGAAATTGGAATTCATGTTCTTTTACTGTATTGATCTATAGTCCTAGAAATGCAAGAGGATGGTACCATCCTTTGCTTGGAGACTTAACAGTTTGCTGGCTTTATAATCTTTGTTATTTACTTACTAAACAAAAATAAGAATGCTTTGGGGGGCAGGGGCTCCTGTTTAATGATAGGCCAAATTACGGTAACCGTGTATTTTGTAATTCTCTTCACTAGCACTCAGAAAGGTATTTTTCAACTTCAGGTGCAAATCAGAATTACTATGAAACATTTTCAATACTCAGACCCACCAAACACCAGAGTCTGTTAAAGGATCTGACACTGTTTGTTGGAAAAGTGCTGCTACTTGTCTACAGGATTGTCTTTTACTTTTTTTCTAATAATATTTTTTCATGGTGTTAAGACTTTATGCCAAAATAAAACTTTGTGAATGTTAAGCTGCTACAAATAGGATATATAATTTTCAGATTTGATGGGCTGAACTTCCCACAATTCTATGGAAGATAACCTGCTAGGAAATATGTGTGACATTCTGAACAGGATAGTTTCTTCAGAATAAGCACTGCCCTCCAGTTTTATACCATGTTATTTTCTGATTACTTTATTTCCCTAGTAATGATTATGACACCTTTTTAGACAGTTAACTAGAAAACTTTAAACTCCAAAAGCATTCTTGAGCATTTTTGTCTTGAATATGCTTAAACTTTAGTAGTCTTATGTTTAACATACCTACTTCTGTGTTCTTAGTCTACGCAGATGGTAGTATATGTCTGGATATACTTCAGAACCGTTGGAGTCCAACTTATGATGTGTCTTCCATTTTAACATCCATACAGGTGATTTTTTTTCCTTTAATGTGATTATAATCTTTGATGCTTTTACATTAGTGATTATTTTGACCTTTTAAATTTTGGGATCAAGATTATTGTATAAGGGAGCAGACCATTAAAATACAAGTCTTCAGGAAATATGTGTATGTGCATGTGTATTTGCCTGAACTAGTTGCAGTTACTTTAAGTTAGTATGTGGAAGATGGAAAAATTAACTATTATTTGGGACAGTCATTGATAAAATAGCTGCTCTCAACAATTTGTCTTGTTGCATTAGGGAACTGATATTTCTCTTTTCTCTGTAGTCTCTATTGGATGAACCTAATCCCAATAGTCCAGCCAACAGCCAGGCTGCCCAGCTGTACCAGGAGAACAAGCGGGAATATGAAAAGCGTGTTTCTGCAATAGTAGAACAAAGCTGGCGTGACTGTTGACTCAGGGTAGAACAAACGAAGAGGCTGGCCATAAGAAAAATGTATATTGATGAATTCATCTGCTTCCTATTCCTAATTCATTACATTTACTTTATTAAAAACAAAATAGCTGTTGTGCTGTTTCTGTCTTCCCTTGCCAAGTTTTTCTTCCCCTTTCTGTCCTCCTGTGGAGCATCAGAGATTCCATTTGAAGTCCAATGTACTGTACCTGGGTTACTTGCAAACATTACTACTGCATATGTCCCTTTGTTGTATCTCATTTCCATCCTCCAGCCTCTAAGCAGTTATCAGGTTACTGTACTTTTTATACTAAGCTTTTAAGAGAAACTGTTGTGTATACCCGTGACCAGGATGTTATTTGTAACTAAATGATTGCTGCTGTGTTTCATCCTGGCCAGTTTTCCTTGTGTTCAATTTGGCAAAGAATGTATTTAGGATATGACCTAAAGAAAACAGGAATGCATCATGTAAACATCTTAAAGGGGAAGGAAAACGGAAAGATTCTATACTCATTGTAAAGCAATATGAATTACAAGATGGCACTATTGGTAGCAAGGACTAAAGGACCTAGCTAACAAATGGAAGCAACTTTAATAACTGACACAGTCCACTTTTTGTAAGATAATCATTGTGCAAATGCATTCATTATGTTTCAGAAACCGGGCCTTTGGAGCTTTGTGCTTTTTAAAGAGGTGTGAGAACAGGACTAGAAGCTATTGTTTTTAAGTTGGGAACCAGAAGATCCTCAAATCTTTTTAAAGGAACAGTATTGCCCTAAATAAACTTTTCTTTTTATGACTCAAGGAAGTGAGCCTATCTCTTGCAAACTTTTCTCATTTAAATCCTGAGTTATTGCTGCATGCTTTCAGTGTTTTGAGAACGTTATTGCCCATATCTGCAATTTTCCTTTGGATATTTACACTTTTAAATATACAGTATGGGGCAAGGCTTGTAAATGTTTTGTCTAATATATTTTAATTGTTAATCTTTTATGCATTTATAGCACTTCTAACTTTGCACAAGTAACCCATGTAAAAACTGTACATTTTCAAAAGTTGTAAATAAAAAATAACCTTAAAATTTAGTTCACACTTTTATTAACTTTTTTTTAGGGATATCCTATCTACTTATCTTCCCTTTTAAAAATAAGTACAACAAAAGCAAAATGCTTTCTGGAAATAGACAGCCAGTACTATTAGCAAACCTTTTTTTAACTTTTCAGTCACAGAGTTAATGCTTTTCAAACATTTTAACATAAATTCAGTGTACATTATAGGCAATGAACAAAGAATGAAATGATGATAGGTTTTCTTACTAGTATGCTCAGTGACTAAGCTCTAACTTGTTTATCTTGACAATCCACCTCTTAAAAAACCTCTAGCTTAGTGGGACATGTTTATAATAGGCCTAATTCCAGCATCTGAGAGGCAGAGGCAGATGGATCTCTTGACTTTGAATGCAACTTGGTGTACAGAGCAAGTTTCAGGCGAGGCAGTTACATAATGAAACTCCACCTCAAAGAAAATAATAGGGAGGTAGGGGACAGATGGAGAGACAGCTCAGTTAAGAATGCTTGCTCTTTTTCCAGAGGATCCTGTTTCAGTTCCCAGGACCCACACTGGGTTGCTCAAAACTGTTGTAACTCCTGTACTTAGGGAAATCCGATGCCCTCTTCAGGCCTCCATGAGTACTGCACTCAAGATGGTGCACAAAGATACACCCAGGCAGGCATACAACACACGCATAAAATGCTTAAATTCTGTGTAAGTTTGTGAGGGTAGGTATCCTCTGACATCACGTTGAAATGCAAGTGAGCTCTTCTCTGAGGAGCAACTAGTCTCATTTTAAAGAGAAAATGACAGTAACATGCTGTGTCTTATTAGTAGTTGGAAGGAAAAGATGCATGCACCTCAGTCATCTTTGAAGGGTACTTAGACCTCACTGTGGGGGAGTTCAATCTGCCATGTAAATTGCATTGTTCCACTTAGGACTAACGTCCTCAAATACACTTAATATTTCCCTTTCAAGTCCATTTCTGTTTCAAAGTGAACCCCATTAATTTTTTTATTTGGTGTTTGAATTAACTTTTTTCACCCTGTTTTGGCTGGGCACCTTAAATATGGATAATACTGCTATTTGAAACATTTAGCATGAGACTGGGAACAGGCTGATTTAGTAATATTTTATTTTGTACATCTCCTGAGAAACACCATCATCAATTTCTCATGGGATAATCCTTTTACAACCTTAAGAACGAAGCTGACATAGACATAGCCAAAGCTACCTAGACACTCATTGGAACATTTTATACAAATTACCCTTTTTTCTTCTTTACAATTTTTAACAAAGCCTTCCTTGTCCACATGTAATTACAAGAAAGTTAAAACATATTTTCAAGGTGCCTTTCTGAGACTCAAACTTTCAATTTTGTACCTGCTTATGTGGGGAAGGGGGTATGCTGAAGAACCAAAGCTGTAATTAGAGTCCTTTATTTAGGACCCGCTGCAAGGGTTACTCATAGCAAAGTAAACACACTGAATACTACTAAAAAATGCACCCAGTGGGGTGATATTTCCACTCACTTTTGCGATGGGGGGGGGGGGTAGGTGTTAAAGAGTGGCTCTGTGAGCACAAGCACATATGCATATACAGTTTTCAGGTTACATTTAATACAAATAAGACTTGGAAGCACTCATAGTCTGTCAAGTTTTATAGCAAAGTTCCTGAGCTAAAAATGACTTCTATTTCTAAGAGAAGGAAAATGCAAGGACCAAATAAAAGGAAAACTGGAAACTGGAACAGCAAGGTTGTCAGCAGCTTATTCCTGTCAACCTGATTTTTCCACATCAATACTAAAGCTGCTCTATCTACCAAGTTATCCGGTCCACCAAAATCAGGAACCCAATTCCTATATACTTAACCCAATTATCACAGAGCCTCAAGTGTAACTAATCTGTTCCATTAGGCTTTTATAAACAAATCTGATTTCATACCACTCCTCCAAGGCAACAAAAATCATCTTGGAGTAAAACATAAAGAGACAAGCAAACCAAGTTTTCACATCTCATACTCTCTAAAAACCATCTCTTGTCATCCAGAAAAACCAAAGACACAGTGTTCTAACTACCTGAACCATAACTTTCCAAGATGGGAGTGAATTTTGCAGGTAAAAAAATAGTTATAATCACAAAATCTATGAAAGTTCTACCCTAGTTCTGTTTCTACTAAAGTATTACACACCAAAATAAAATGTACATCTCTTCTACCAAACGAATAAAGTATATACACTATGGAAAAGAGTGCAAAGCAGATGCTGTCCTGTGCTAGCCAATGCAGGTGCGTGGAAGGAAAGAGGTCCATATATAAAAGGTAATCTATATTTTTAAATACACATTTTACTCTATCTGCTTAGTATAAAGTAGAAAAAGGAGTAGGAAAGCAAAATGGAATTTACTATGCATTGTGGTGTGGACCAGTTACAAACCAAACATGAACCCTGCATATGGGGGTTGAAGAGCTGGCTTAGAGGTTAAGAGCACACACTGTTCTTCCAGAGGACCAGAGTTCAGTTCCCAGCACCCATGGCAGGAGGCTGACAAGTGCCTATATTGTCAGCCCCATCTGACACCTGTCCTCCATGGGCATATGCATTCACATGCATATAACTCCCTCCCACACACATTATAAAAAAATAAATCTTTTTTCAAAGGACACTACAAACAACCTAGGAGTCCTTACCATCACTTCTCTGGAGTTAACTATCAATATTGTAATATTCATTTCTTTTATTGCTAGGTATTACTTGATTCATTGAGATACAATAAAACCACATAAAAGTAAACAGCCAAAGATTTGATAAGTCAGAATGCTGGCATACAAGAAAACAAAACCACAAAGCAAACAAAAACCAGGACGAGTGACAGATTCTTCTCCTATTTGCTAAATCATTACATTTATCCATGTGTGCTGTGACTGAACTATTCTGTGCAACCATCACTTCCTTTGTCCAAAGACCCAAAGTGTTGCTACTAGGTTGCTCTCCAGAAAGAAGCACACCACCATTTTGAGGAAGCATACACTAACTCTTTTATTTTTATACATTTTTACATTCCAGAAATAAGCGAAAATAGCAGTTTTAAGTATGTTACAAAGTTGGCTTTGGGGCATAATAAGCTGTTTGAGAGAGGGACCAGCCAACTGACCTTTTCATCAAAGCACCAATGTACCAATCTTCAGTCTTTTACCAGGCCCTACCACAGCTGTGGTTGCCTTGGATGTGACGCACAGACCGTGTGAAAGCTACAATGGAGAGTTGCTCTGAGTCTCTCTGCAAGGCACCAAGAACAAACAATTCAAGCTTCCTTTCTTCTGATTGAATCAAGGCTTTTTGGAAACTTTGTGACATCTCTCTCAAGTAGTGCTCTCTCAGCAGGAAGACTAGAATTTGTTAAAAGTCATATAGCACAAGATACAGTAAATCACTTCCAATATCCTGGAAATCACAGGGTAGAAGTTATAAATAAACAAACACTAAAATTACTTTTAAGAAAGTTTTACATCATTTAGTTGATAAAGACATTTACATGTACAGCACAATTTATTGTTAAACGTTCTATAATTGGCTTCACACAAAGATGAAAATTGCTAGTACAAATTGACCTGACATTTTAAGTAAATCTGGAATTAGCTGTAGCTTAGAGTCAGCATTTACTTTACATGTTGTTACAGATTGCTGTGCTATGCCCTTTATAATGTGAATTATTTTCCTCAGGGTGAAATTGCACTTAGATGGGTGTTTTTGCTTGTACAAACTACTAAAATCTGAGGGACGGGGCAATGTGAAAGACACAAACAGTAACTGCACAATATCATCTGCTGGGGTAAGCTAATACGAGTGGACAGAATTCGCCAAGTTCCAAACCTAATAAAGCACTACATGAAACAAACAAGGTGAAACATCTTAAGAATGAATATTCTTCAACCAGATTATGTAGTTTTTTTTTTTTTTAAATTTGATCTGCCTCACATGGTATTTACAAGATAACTTAGTAAAAACTTAATTTGCTTGGGGCATGACAAGCTCATAATGCCCCACTTGGCCTTCCTGTTTGAGTTGATCTAGGAGGTCTTCCTTCCGCCGTTTTCTACCTACCACCAGGTACCTATCATGGCCCACCCCATGAGACTTACTCTTCAGGCCATACTTCTGAGCAATCTGATGTATTTGCTTCCGTTCGTCATTAGTCAGCTCTGTGGAGAAGGTCAAATCTGAGTGGCTCTCAGAGCGGGCATAGTTTCTGATGATCTGTTCTATATCTCTCTTAGCGATTTTATTGACCCTCTCTACATCTAGTCCAAGTCCTTCTCGCTTGTGCTGCTCTTTGACTGAGATAGGCTCCCTTATGCCATCACCAGATTTACCCAAGCCACCACCCGTCCAACCCATTTTTCGCAGCAGTTGATTTCCTATGTTATCTTCTTTGATTTGCTGTTTGTAAGCTTCTTCTGCTGAGCGGCCCTGAATTTCGTTTCTTGAAATCACATCTTCAACAGTCCCTTTCTTCAGGTTGTTAATGACAGTTGGCTGGGTCTTTTTGAGGGTTTTCACAGCTTCTCCAGCAGCTTCATATTTGACACTTTTCTTCACCCCAATTGCTTCTGCAATGACTTCACTTTCCAGAATCACCTTGCATTTCCAGCGGAGGCCTGTCATCCTCTCATAGACATATTCAACTGTCATTCGGTTAAACTGAGCTGTATCGTTCAGGGTGCACACAGGATTGGAAGAATTCTCATAAACTAC